TTATAAGCAGGCGGTGTAGTAATATGGACACTACAATGATCACATGTCTCTCGTGGAGTCAGTAAATCCAGGCCGCGCGACAGATGACAACCCTACTGAGCTTTGCTTTCCAAGAGCCACAGGGGTTATTAGTAATCCGGAGCCCAACAGTAAGTTGTTGATCTAATGCAGCCACTTGCTCTCATTTTATCAGCGTATCAGAATAAAACCTATTCAGCTTTTGATTAGAAACGACCTGTAATCGGTCAGCATATTAGGGGTGTAGATGGGCATCAAAACAGGTAGGATTATTTTGCCTCTTGTGTAGTTTCGCATCAAAAATTCATCTGGCTTAATTTAGTCCCATAGAATTTCGAACAACATTGCTTCGTTGATGAGTGTTGTATCCGTTCAACTGCTGGGTTAGAGTCACAAGAGAAGAAGACGACCAGAGGGAACTGTGTATTAACGCAATTACAAATTTCCAAATATATATATATATATATGTGTAAAATTGAAATGCAATAAAATAAGGTTGCTGAATATCCACATTCAGCTGCCTGAGAAAAGCAGAAAAGAGAGATTCAGTTGCGATCCAGATGAGTTTCCCGAAAGAACCAAATAAACTTGCAGATGAGTGCATATTCGCTAATTGTATATACATAAATAATTTCTCACAGTATTTGATGGTCGATCCGCTGTCAACCAACCAATGTGTCTCCCACACACCCACACCGGTTTTCGGGCGGTTGTTCCTTTGTCTCGGTTGATCATAGATGGCCGTGTGTGCGCCGAATTTTCTTTTCTTCTACCACATCAGCCAAATCAATATGAGACATATCTCCATATTTATGGAACCAGGATTCGAAAGTTAAACCAGAATCAGCATCATAATGGAACTCACTGATACGCTGCGTCAGAGACTCCGGTGAAGGAACGTTGTCTGGTTCTGCTGATATTGCGATTGCCTGCTTTGAAAAATTTTGCGACAATGTCTCAATCAACTTTGCTTGATATTTTTCAAATTGTGCTTGCGAGTTTGAAAACTGCGCCTGTTGCTGTTGCAGTAGGGCTTGCATTTGTTCGAAACTGACTGCCATGATTGAGTTTCGAAATGAAGATAACCCGTTGCCACTGGTCTATCTCTTCACCTGCCCTGACCACTGTTATGTAGTCACAAGACAAGAAGACGACCTGA